CACACACACAGGCACTTAGGCAAATAAGTCTGATTCCCTGTAAAGACTTCTCTTTTGACACCCACCCCTTTAGTGCTCATATGACCTTATGCAGTTGAGAGGGCCGTAAAACCCTCTACTATATTAAAAAAAAGCATTTGTGAGTACTTATTGTGTGTGTTTTGGTTTGTGTGCACAGAACTTGAATCTGACGACTCGCAAGTTGATTTTCGACGGTCCGCTAACGTGGAAGCTGCGGTCCCACCGCACGGTCGACCTCCACGCACTGCTGTTTGAGGACATGCTGGTGCTGCTGCAGAAACAGGACGACAAGTAAGAACAGCGCTGTTTGCTCCGTGAGGTTACTCACAACCAATGTACTTTTTACTCTTGGGTTTTAGGGGGGATATTGAAGTATTTTGTGCTTTTATTATCATACCGAATTTCTATCTGGTCGTCGTTGCTCTTCATGGTGATTTCTTTGCCTACTTTTATATCATATTTGTATTTGCCTTTTTCATTCTTTAAAAATGTTCTCTTTGAAATCTGGGTGGCATTGGTAGCCTACCGAACATGAGATTGCTGGATTGGGGGCGGGGTTCGAGCTTAGCTCGGTCCAACGTTTTGTCTTTGAGAAAGACACTTTACACAAATTTCCCTCTTGGGTCGGTCTTTTTTTAGACATGGACGTTAAACTCGGAGGTCCTGCCTCTTAAATAGCTTATCAGTGTTGATAAGGGCGTTACAAATGTTTCCCATTATTCATATTAAACTTGACAATATGCGAGGCATGCTGACAAATTGAGGTACTTTTTGCAATCCTCAAATGAAGATATCGGTCGAAAATCAACTCAGAAATCAAATTTGTAGATTTTTCGACTGATGCCATTTTCTTCAAAATTCAACTTGTCTTTTATCATTTGATAAAATTGGATTATGAAAACTCAAGCTATTAATTTGAAGTGTCTATGTCCATAGGGCTAAAACTTTGAGAAATGACTCATTTAGTCGGCCCACGTCACGTCTGTGCCCGCTTGCTCCCCAGGTACGTCCTCAAGTGTCAGAACGCCAACGCCCAGTCGGCGCGGGACGATCACAAGTTTACACACAGCCCCGTGCTCCGACTACAGAACTTACTGGCCCGGAACCTCGCTACTGGTGGGTGGTCTGTGTGTGTG